GTGTGTGTGTGTGTGTGTGTGTGTGTGTGTGTGTGTGTGTGTGTGTGGTGGGTACATCGATCTCACTCCCAAGGTCTAAACCACATATCCAACTGCTTCACTTTATCCTTGTCTCTGGTCAAATGTCAACATTCCTCAGCGAGGCCTGCCCAGGTCACTCTCTCTAGAACAGAAGCCCCTCTCGCACTCTGTCCTTTCCTGGCTTTATTTTCTTCACAGAATGGATCTCATCCAACAATCTGTTCATATTTGTTTGTTTACTTGTTGACTGAGCTCTAAGGGCAAGTCCTAGTGTGGTTACTTCTCATCTGTATCCCAGCCCCGAGCATAGAGCCTGGCACATTGAGTAAACTCAATAAATATTTGTTAAATGAATAAACACACAAAAGAATGACCTGCTTTATAGGCAAAGTAAACTCACAGTGGTCCCCCCAAGTCCCCACCCATCTTGCTCGCACCTCCAGTTCTCGTGCCGTGGCATCCTTTCCCAGCACCCAGCACAGGAGCCTGGGCATCTTCCCTGAGAGCTCCTTATCTCTGGCCTCCCACATCTGCTCAGGGAACATCCTACAGACTTAACCTTCACAAAGGCTCTGTCTGCTTCCCACTGCTGTGATCCTAGACCTCGCTGCCTTTTCGCTTCAGTAGCAAAAAAGCCTCAGAACTGATTCCTAACAGTGGCAATAATAACTTGTATCATTTATTAAGCACAGGCACTGCATCAGTGATTACAGAGATGTCGTTTAATCCTTTCGATAACCACAAGGGATAGGCTAGTTCCTTAACAAAGAGACACAGGTTTGCTAGATTCAGCAACTCACGTGAAGTCACTCAGCCAGAAAACCTCAGAGTCAAGTCTAACTCATTCATTGTGTCTTTAACCACTTCATATCCAATGCCCCCAAATGGCCCGCACCATGCATCACAGGCAGATTACTTTTCTGAAGCATAATGCTTCTTCACTGAAAACAGGATGCCTGCCGATGTACATACACACTCCTCAGGCTGGCTTTGCCATCTTTCACCAGCCTTAGCTCCTCTCTTCCCCTTCAAGTGACTTCAGGCTCCTCCACGGGGAAACAGATGTCTCACAAACACACCACCTGCTCCCTGTCAGTGGTGACTTTGCTTAATTTTGTTCCTTTCACCTGGAATTCCTGATCTGTTTCTTCCTGTCAAATGTTATCCATCCTCTATGACCCTTCCTCAAAGATTATCCTCAAACACCTTGAAGCCTTCCTGGTTCTTCCGCAACCAGATAAGCTCTCTCTCCACAACAGTTTGTATCACTTATTCCCCGAATATTTATTGAATGCTTGCTGTGTACCAGGTAGTTTTCTTGACATTAAATATCAATATACATTATGGGAACACTGAACTTCAAAGAGAAAATAGAATTTGCCAAAGCCCTCTCCCAGGAGTCAGATCCGTATCTCCCTAATTCTATACCCCATTTCTGCCCAGCCCATCCTAAAACTCCCCTCAGGACAAATGGCTCAGCCCTCAGCCCCTCTCCCCACACCAGACGCCCTGTCAGTGCTCTGCTGTCAGAGAACAAATGCCAATTGGACCCCAGTATTGCTTCTTCCTCCCCTCCTTACCCGGATTTCCCTGCTCTCACGGTAAAACTCCTTCTCTTCTATCTTCTCAAACAGTAGAACTCTCCCTGGCCCAGCAGAGCAGGCAAATCCCTTGGAATAGGCTGCGATGGCAGACACCTGGGGCGGGGACAGCTGGTGGTGGCTGCTGGCCATCACGACCTGCTTGTAGGAAGGGACTGGGGAGGTGATTGTTGGAAATTCGATCAGGCTGGAAAAGAAGACAGCATGTAAAGATAACAGAGACGATTCCAAGGAGATGAATCCTGCTAGGGATGAGAAAGAAGGGCTGTCCTTGGGCGTGGGAGAAACCAGCGTGAGCCCCTTTCCCACGGCCCAAATGCTCCCCTTTGGCTGGGAATGCTACCCGAGCTCCATGGAAGATGGAAGGTTGTGCATTTATGAGGAAGTCTCGCAAACCTGTGTGGTCACTGTTTTCACTGTTATTATCATATTCATTTTGTTGTTTGGAAAAAAGTGGCTCAGAGGGGTTGTTTCCAAGATCACAAAATTAGAAGGGGAAGAGCTGAGACTTGGGTTTTTTTGTTTTTTTTGTTTTTTGTTTTGGCCTTGTTGCAAGGCATGTGGGATCTTAGTTCCCTGACCAGGGATCGAACCTGTGCCCCCTGCAGTTGAAGCGTGGAGTCCTAACCACTAGACCACCAGGGAAGTCCCAAGAGCTGAGATTTGAATCCAGGTTTCCATTTCCTCCCTGCCTCCCTTCTCCTTCCTCCCTTCCTTCCATTGTTTCTCTTTCATTCATTCACTCATTCATTCATTCATTCATTCATATAACATTTACTGCAGTTATTCTGTGTTAACAGCTCTGTGAAACAATGGTAAATAAGTTGACACAGTTCCTGCCCTGAGAAGCTGATGGTCTAGCGGGTATGTGATAAGGACTGTTAAGGGCAGCTGAGTAGGATGGGAGCAACCAGTCAGCAGCTAACAAGGGTTTTCTGAGGACAGTTACAGAGGAGGACCACCTATCTGAGATGAGCAGAGGCTGAGAGCTCCCAGCTGAGATGTGAAGGACAAAGAGGACTGTGTCAGGCATGTGTCTATGTCCAGGGGAGTGGGCTCGGGGTGGGGGCAGACCAAGCCCAGAAGCAGGAGAGTACACGAGGCATGTGCGGTAGACAGAGGTAAGAGCTGATGCTGCAGATGTAAAGAAGGGTCCGAGCAGCAGGGACATGTGGGCCAGGCTCAGGAGTCTGAGCTTTATTCTTGGAGCCCTGGACCCACTGAAGGATGGTGAACCCAGAAAACTGGAGGGCATATGGTCTTATTAGGAAGTTCTCAACATAATCACGATAAAAAAGGAGACGTCATTGGCATGGAGGGTGGTGAAAATGGGTGAAACCAAAGTCACTGAGGAAGAGGCATCTACAGTGTGTCATTGTGGTTGAGGGCTCAGGCTCTGGGGTCAGACAGGTCTGGGTTTGAATCCTGACCTGTCATTTAACAGTGCTGTGATACTGGGTGAGGCACTTAACCTCTTTGAGCCTCAGTTTCCTCATCTATAAAATGGGCATGATAATAATATATACTTTTTAGGGTAAGACTCAAATGAGGATATATATAAAGTGCTTAAGGCAGTGTCTAGAACGCACAATGGTACTTTCCAATATGGGTGAGATACGACTGTTATTGGTTGCAGTAGAGGTGAAATAGACAGCTCTATCCTGACCCCCCACTTTAGCCCATATGCTTTGTCAGATTGACCGACAACATTTCCTTGCACTTCCTTGTTGGTCTGGTGCCTCCCACTGAATTGTAAGGTCCCATGGACCTGTGTCCCCAGCACCTAGCAAGATGCCTTGCACACTGCAAGGGCTTGGTGGACATTTCTTTAATTGATTCAGTAAATTAGGCAGCCATTAGAAAACATATTTTTGAAAATCTGTTGTTTTGAAGACTAGTCATACTAAAACGTTTATAAAATGAGGTTAGGTATAAAAATAAAAAGGATTGTATCTAGGTTACGGTCATAACTTTCAAATTTGTGCTTGAATATGGAAGAACACTAGAAAGGCAGAGGGAAAATGAAAATCATTGATTTTTAAGGTAGAGGGGATAGGAGTGATTTTTAAAGAATGCTGTTTTCGGTGTAATGCTATTACCATGATGAGTGTATTTTTCCAAGAGCTCCTGCCCAGAGGGTGCCGTTACCTCTCGGATTCCTGGATCACCCCCAGGTTCTTCGTCTCGCTGGTGGGCTCCCTGACCATGATACTTGTCTCCCAGCGTTGATCTCCAGACTCAAAGAGGAAGAGCCTGCCTGTATCAGTGCCAGCAACAATCTTGTCGTCAGACACCCAAGTGTGGGCGAGATAGTTTTGGGGTTCTCCCCTCTGAAAATTAGTTTGCTTCAAGGTTCCCTCAGCAAAACGGAGCAGCTTAAACATCCCATTTCCAGTGACACAAATCTGAGTGCTATCCTGGGGATTGAAGCTCACCTGTAAAATGGGAAGGAATTAAAGAAAAAGATATATAAAACTAAACTTGATTGTATTATTTCCCATTTTACTAACTACGAGTTATCCCAGGTAGCTCATAGGATCTTTTAAATACCACTAAATCATATAATTTTAAGACCATATTTGACAAGAGGACAGATCTATATCCATTATATTTGTACAGCCCATGAGTCTTTAACCTAGGAAACCTTCAAAAGTCATCTGACAAAGGCCAAAAAGCAAGATGAGCAGGTCTTGACAATCACCAAACTCTGTGCCAACAAAATGGAATGAAGGCTCAGCTGGAAGCATAAAATGAGGGTTTGGCAGGTTTATGTGCCCTGTTCAGGGCGAAGGAACCACATGTCAGGGACTAACCTTCCTTTATCTCTACCCTCATCCCAATGCGCAGTCATGGGCAGTCAACCTGTCGCCTCCACCGGATGGTGAGCACCTGGTGGGGCTGTGGCTTTTTCATCTCTGTATCCCCAGTGCCGGGTTCAGCGCGGGCATCCAATGAATGTTTCCTGGATCTGTTTGAGAGGAGGTGCTCCCTGCTCTGAATAGGATGCCATATCATGCCTTACTGTGACCTGGGTGAAATCATCTTCGGGCTCTACCTGCCTTTGCTCTGATTCCGTGATCAGCAAGCAACCTTCTGACTACTAATTTCATCTCCCAAGGACTCTGTTACCAGGGAGGAAATACACTGGTTAAATGCTGTGTGTTCTGGTTGTGACATGCTGGTTCACAAGCCAGACTCTTGTGAGAATAACGGAGTCTGTGCCCGAGATGCTGACTAGCCAATATCTCTGAACATGAACAGAACTGAGTGCCTGGACTTGGAAAACTGAGCACTAGATCCTAGACCAGGTTGACTGCTCCAAGAAAAGCCTCCTTGGGCCCCAACCAGCCCCCCAACACATCCTCTTCATTTTGCCCTCAAACCACGATAGAAATGTCTGCTCCCCACGTAAGTGCGATTTCATGGACAGCTTCCTAAAGACCTACCACTTCACACCACCTTCCTGAAGTCTTCCCACTGCCCCGCAATGCTGCCCGGAAGAGGCCAGGATCAGGGAGAGACAGCCAGTTTGATCAACCTGCCTCTGGGCTTGACCTGGGACCAGAAAACAGTTCTGGGCCAAAGTGAAGAACACAGCCCCTGGAGTCAGGGAGTCCTGGCCCTGCTAAGTTCTTGGAGCCCCAGTTCCTTCATCTTTAAAACAGAGACAATAATTATGCATACCTTATATGGTGTTGTGAGGCAAATTTTAAAATGCATTTTAAGAAATTAGCATTAACCCTGACACACAGAAAGCATTCAATGAGGGACAGCTTGTACTACTTTTTAATAACTTGCACCATACTTCTCGTGCTGGGTGGTACCTGGTAGACAGCATTGTTCTGAGTATCAGTTCTAACGATGGCCATTACTTTCTGTTTTTCCCACAGCCAATAGACAAGGTTTGACTCTGGAGGTGAGGTCTGGGTCAAGAGGTATTTGGAGTCTGGAGAAAAAGCCATGCAAATAAACTTCTGAACTGGGAAGTCAAAATTATTAAGGACTTTGCGCTTTCGGCAAGGAACGGTTGACAGTTCATAAATGGTGATGACGGGTTTTTCTTGCACAGTCTCGGAGATAGCGAGGTATCGCCGATTGGGACTGATGGACAAGGCCAACATGCCCTGACTCTTGTCTGAGCCTGCAAACAAAGGAGAGGAGCTGGTGAGGGGAGATCATGCATTCACCAAGATTCAGCATGAACCAGGCACTGTGGTGGGCACTGCCGAGGCAATAGGAGAAAAGTACGGAAACAGGTCATTGTCAATCCCTGTGTCCCTCGGGGCAACTGTGTCTGGGCTATTATGAAAATAACTAGGATGGGCACCTCACTGAGGCCATGGTGGGAGGAGAAGTCAGGGAAGGATTCCTGAAGGAAGATGAAGTGTGGCGGGGGGGTGGGGGTGGGGCACGTCAGGAAGGGCAAAAGTGTGGATGTGAGAAAGGGTATAGATGGAGGGGGAACTGCACATGGTGGGAGATGGCTGAGCATGCCCTGTGAGCCAGGGGTGACCAAAGATGGGTCTGGAGCATGCAGTAGGGTCAGATCAGAGGCCTTTATGCCCTGAGCAGTCAGCACTCAATACTCTTCCTCCACTTTCCAGGCTGGGACGCTAACCACTAGATTCCTCAGCCTCCCTTGCAGTTAAGTGATCTATGTGACATTCTGGCTGAGAGATGCAGAGGTCTGCTGAATGGGGTTTATGGTAAAGCCCGTGCTTCCTTCGAAACCAGGAGGGATGCATTCTATCCATTTTTCAGGAATAAAGAGGCGATATCTGGTGGTCGAGTAAAGATTAAACTGCAAATGCTTTATTTGGGTAATGTAATCAGGTCTGCATTATAATTTTCATGGGCCCTAGGCACTTCTGCTTTCATGGGCCCCTTCCTCCATTAAAATATGGTAAAAATTATACTTTATGACTCATTGGTTTAAAGAAGAATATAATCCATGCTAGATTCACTAGTATTATATTCATTTTTTCCTGATTTTAAAATAAATTAAAATTAAAATATTTTCTTGGGTCCCTAAAAGCATCACGGGCCCCAGGCTGTGCCTCACAGTAATTCGGCCTGATAGAAGCCCCAGGCAGGGCGGGTGAGAGAGGCAGGGGAAGCTGTGCTAGAAAGTGACACGATGGACTCCATGCTGCTGCGTCACACAAGCGGCAGCAAGTTGGACCAGCCCGCGGGCTTCTCTGGAAGGGCTGCAGAGAATACCTGCACCTCTGAGAAGAACCCCGGGTTTGGGTCACTGAGAGCCTTGCATGAGAGTTTGGACTTTACCAGGGAGACCAATGGGAAGGCCCTGGGAAATTTTAGGAAGGTCTGATGTGTGTTGTAGAAAGATCCCTCTGGCAACTGTATGGAAGACAATCCTGGAGGGAAGGAAACTTCAGCAGGTTATTTCAAAAACCGGGACACATGGCAGCAATGAGCAACAGGAAGGCAGTAGGGGCGATGGGAACAGGAGGTTAGAGAAATGCTAACGGGTAAAACCAGGAGGACTCAGTGAAGGTGGGATGAGGGGCTGATGGAGAGAGAGGAGCAATGAATGACATTTAGGTTTCTGGTTTGGTGATGGGAGTGGTGGTGACAACTGGGATGAAACACAGGCTAAGGGAGCTAGGGGCCATGGTGAAGGTCACGTCCACTGTTTTTCACTGAAAATAGCCCATGCGAATATTTCTGATTTAATCATGCTTATTTGCTTTCAGTTTTTTATGATTTCTTATTTATTTATTTATTTGCACTGAAGTCTTTAATCCATCTCAGGTTCATGATGATTCCCCTTTCCCAAACATCAATACCTAACTGGTTATCCCAGCACTAATTACTAATGCCACCTTTATGTTGTACTAAATTCATTTATCCATTGTGTTCATTTATGTGTGTATTACTGGGTTCTGGGATATTTATACTAGGACTAGCTTATTTTTGTAATCATATCCTTATCATGTGTTTGGATAGTTGGCAAAGTAGGCTCTTAAGGAAAGAGGGAGAAAAAGGAAATGATAAATTCCATTCTGGATATATTGTGTGTGAGGTACATACTGCAGAACTTTCAGGTAAAGAGGTCTAGCAGGCAGCTGGATATGATGAAAGCTGGGGGAGATGTTTGGACTGAAATATAGATTTGAGATAAAAGTCATGGGGCTATAAGATATTGATGAAAGAAATAAAAGATGACACAAACAGATGGAGAGACATATTATGTTCTTGGATTGGAAGAATCAATATTGTGAAAATGACTATACTACCCAAAGGAATCTACAGATTCAATGCAATCCCTATCAAATTACCAATGGCATTTTTCACAGAATTAGAACCGAAAATGTTTACAATTTGTATGGAAACACAAAAGACCACAAATAGTCAAAGCAATCTTGAGGAAGAAAAACGGAGCTGGAGGAATCAGGCTCCCTGACTTCAGACTATACTACAAAGCTACAGTCATCAAAACAGTATGGTACGGGCACAAAAACAGAAATATAGATCAATGGAACAGGATAGAAAGTCCAGAGATAAACCCATGCACTTATGGTCACCTAATCTATGGCAAAGGAGGCAAGAATATACAATGGAGAAAAGACAGGCTCTTCAATAATTGGTGCTGGGAAAACTGGAGAGTTACATGTAAAGGAATGAAATTAGAACACACCCTAACACTATACACAAATATAAACTCAAAATGGATTAAAGACCTAAATGTAAGGCTGGATACTAAAAAACTTTTAGAGGAAAACATAGGGAGAACACTTCTGACATAAATTGCAACAAAATCTTTTTCAATCCACCTCCTAGAGTAATGAAAATAAAAACAAAAATAAACAAATGGGACCTAATTAAACTTAAAAGCTTTTGCACAGCAAAGGAAACCATAGACAAAAAGAAAAGAAAACCCTCAGAATGGGAGAAAATATTTGCAAATGAAACAGCCAACAAGGGATTAATCTCCAAAATATATAAACAGCAGCTCAACATCAAAAAAACAAACAACCCAATCAAAAAATGGGCGGAAGACCTAAATAGACATTTCTTCAAAGACATACAGATGGCCAAGAGGCACATGAAAAGCTGCTCAACATCACTAATTATTAGAGAAATGCAAATCAAAACTACAGTGAGGTATCACCTCACACCAGTCAGAACGGCCATCATCAAAAAATCTACAAACAATAAATGCTGGAGAGGGTGTAGAGAAAAAGGAACCCTCTTGCACTGTTGGTGGAAATGTAAATTGATACGGCCACTATGGAGAACAGTATGGAGGTTCCTTAAAAAACTACAAATAGAACTACCATATGACCCAGCAATCCCACTGCTGGGCATATACCCTGAGAAAACCATAATTCAAAAAGAGTCATGTACCACAATGTTCATTGCAGCTCTGTTTACAGTAGTCAGGACATGGAAGCAACCTAAGTGTCCATCGACAGATGAATGGATAAAGAAGATGTGGTGCATATATACAATGGAATATTACTCAGCCATAAAAAGAAACGAAATTGAGTTATTGGTAGTGAGGTGGATGGACCTAGAGTCTGTCATACAGAGTGAAGTAAGTCAGAAAGAGAAAAACAAATACCGTATGCTAACATATATATATGGAATCTAGAAAAAGAAAAAATGACTCTGAAGAACTGAAGAAGGGCAGGACAAGAATAAAGACGCAGATGTAGATAATGGACTTGAGGACACAGGGAGGGGGAAGGGTAAGCTGGGACGAAGTGAGAGAGTGGCATGAACATATATACACTACCAAATGTAAAATAGATAGCTAGTGGGAAGCAGCCGCATAGCACAGGGAGATCAGCTCGGTGCTTTGTGACCACCTAGAGGGGTGGGATAGGGAGGGTGGGTGGGAGACGCAAGAGGCAGGAGATATGGGGATGTATGTATACATATAGCTGATTCACTTTGTTATACAGCAGAAACTAACACATCATTGTAAAGCAATTATACCCCAATAAAGATGTTAAAAAATAATCTGCAAACAATAAATGCTGGAGAGGGTGTGGAGAGAAGGAACCCTCCTACACTGTTGGTGGGAATGCAAACTGTTACAGCCAGTATGGAGAACAGTATGGAGGTTCCTTAAAAAACTGAAAATAGAGTTACCATATGATCCAGCAATCCCACCCTGGGCATATAACTGGAGAAAACCATAACTGGAAAAGATATATGCACCTCAATGTTCACTGTAGCACTATCACAATAGCCAAGACATGGAAGTAACCTAAATGTCCACAGATAGAGGAATGGATAAAGAAGATGTGGTGCATATATACAAGGGAATATTACTCATCCATAAAAAAGAACAAAATAATGCCATTTGCTGCAACATGGATGGACCTATAGATTCTCATACTGAATGAAATAAGTCAGATAGAGAAAGATAAATACCATATGATATCGCTTATATGTGGAATCTAAAAAAAGGCTACAAATGAACTTATCTATAAAACTGAAATAGAGTTACAGATATAGAAAATAAACTTATGGTTACTGAGGGGTAAGGCAGAGGGAGGGATCATTTGGAAGACTGGGATTGATATATACACATCACTATATATAAAATAGATAACTAATAAGGACCTACTGTATAGCACAGGGAACTCCACTCAGTACTCTGTATTGGCCTATATGGGAAAAGAATCTAAACAAGAGTGGATATATGTATTTGTATAACAGATTCACTTTGCTGTACACCTGAAACGAACACAACATTGTAAATCAATTATACCCCAGTAAAAATTTAAAAAAAGAAAAAAGAAAGGAAGGTGGAGAAACAAGAAGGAACAGTTAACAAAAAGTTGGTATACAAACAAACACTGTATAAAACAATAAAAGAAATATTTACTTTTGGCCTTTAGAAAAAAATTTTTTAAAAAGTCACGGTGTGGAGTTTAAAGTGTGCACATAGATGAGATTGCCTGGAGGACAGAAAGGGCAACAGTTCACTCCCTCCTCTGCGCTTTTGTACCAGGGCTGTACCTGGCCTAGCAGGTGTGCTGCTCATTTACATAGTCCCGCTCATTTGAATACATACCTGTCCCCACTACAATACTGAGAGCTCCTGGTCTGGCTTTCTTGCTTATTCATTCTTTCAATCACCAGCGCCTGCCACCAATATACGCTGACTGCAGAGTCTGTAAATGCTTTCTCATTGTTTTAACCCAGTCAGCGACTGATTCCTCCTTGTAATACGTTCACCTCTTGCATGGATTTCCTCTTATCTTTCTGGCTACTCCTCCAAAGACTCTTTTGCAGGTTGTTCCTCATTTCCCTGGTACTATATGTAGGAGGGCCCCAGAGCCCAATCTTTCACCTTCTCTTTCATAAACATATTCACTCCCTGGGGGATCCAATCCATTCTAAGGACCTAATATTTCACCTCCATGCTGATGACCCTCAAATTTCTATCACCAGCCTGGACCTCTCTCTCTCTTGAACCCAAACCTGACATCAGAGTTCTTGCTTAGGATCCCATCTGCATGTTTAGCAGGCATCTCAGTCTTCCCATGTCAAAAACTAACCTCCTGATACGCTCCACAAAGCCTGCTCATTCTGAAGTCTTTCCTGCTTCAGTTAGCAGCAACTCCATCCTTCTGGTTGCTCAGGCCAAAACCCTTGCTTTTTCCTTTTCTCTTCCACCTACATCAGGTCTATGAGGAAACCTGTCACCTTCACCTTCAAAATACAGGCAGGCTTTGGTCTCTTTTCACCACCCTATTGCCTGCCACCTGCTGCGAGCCACCACGTTCTCTCAGCTGGATTATATTAATAGCAATAGTCTCTCAGCTGGTCTCCTGCTTCCTCCCTTGCCCCTCCTTAAATCTATTCTCTGTACAGTAGCCAGAAGGAACCTGTTGAAACATAAGTCAGATCATGTCACTCTGCTCAGAATCCCCCCTCCCCCCCCCCCCCCCCCCTCCCCACCCCCGCTGGCTTCTCACTTCACTCAGAGTAGGAGCCCTTGACCTCAAAGCCCATGTGACGTTGCTCCCATTACTCTGCCTCACCTCTCACTCCTCCTCCATTTACTCCACTCCAGCCACACTGGCCTCCTTGCTATTCCCCTAACACACTCAGCACCCTCCTAACCCAGAGCCTAACAGGTGAGAGGCAAATGTGTAGAGAACCAAAGAGATAATACAGGAGAATAAGCTTGGGGTAAGGGATGACTCCTTAACAAGACACAAGAAGGAAAAGGTTGACACATTTGACTTCATTAAAACTAAGAATTTCTGCCCATCATACCATAAGGAGGAAGAAAACACAAGCCTCAAACTGGGAGAAATTATTTGTTTTATATATATATATATATATATATATATGACAAAGGATTAGCATAAACTATAAAGTGTGCCCATAAATCAGTAAGAAAATTACCCCCAAAAAACACAGAATATGGATAAAAGACTTAAGATATTTCACAGAATGAGTAGCCCCTTAACTGTGTGAAAAGTTATTCGTCCTCATTTGTACTAGATAAATGCACATTAAAACCACAATAAGATACCCTTTCTCAAGCATCAGATGAGCAAAAATTAGGAAGTAGAAACCAGAAAGATAGCAAAGGGGGGTGAGGTTGTGGAGGAATGGCAGTGTGAATTGGTACTGCCACATTACCCAGTAATTTCAGTCCTGGTGTGTGCCCTGGAGAATCTCTGCACAAGTGGATGAGTACACATGTGCAAGAATGTTTATAGTGGCATCATTTGAAATAGCAAAAAACGTTCATTCCCAAATGTCCATCAACACAAGAATGGATAAATATACTTGAGAATTAGAGTCCTATGAGTAATAAAATGAACTCAGTATGTATCAAGATGCATGAATATCAAAAGTATGTCGTTGAAAAAAAGAAGCAAGTCACAGAATACATACACTATGGTTACATTTATATAAAGTTGGTGAAGAGCACAAACAAAAAGGATACCTTACATAAGGCCACACAGATAGAAATGTGGTAAAATTATGTAGAGAAATAAGGGAATAATTACAAAGTCCAGGATGGAGTGAGAGTCTTCATGTGTGAGAAGAATGAAGTCAGGGAGAAACACTGGAACTGGTAATGTTCTATTTACTCTCCTGTTGGTGGGTTCACAGATCTTCATTTTATTATAGTTCTTTAAATATTACATATATGTAGTGCACAGTCTTTTGTATGCAAGTCACAATAAAATATGTTGAGTGCAAAAAAGAGTGGAAAAAGAGAGTAGGTGGTTAAGCTGTGGAAATCATGTATATTATTAGCAGCACCAATGCGAACGAAACCAAATGTTACAGTATACAGACAGTTATGTGTGACTTGGGCTGAAATCTCCAGTGTCTTCACCATACATGGGTTCAAAAGGTGCTGTCATGAAAGTGGTGTACTCTGGAAAACTGTTAGAAAACTCAAAAAGTGGCCCTGGTGACGACAAAGACAATGATATTGAAGATGCATGAAACTCTTTAAAAGAATTTTTTTCATTAAATCACAGTGAAAAGAAGTACTTTTAAATTAACATGATTTTACATGTGATTTTAACTATGTATGTGTGATTCATTAATCTATACATTAAATAAGGCAAGTAGACATGTATTTCTTCTACATTTATAGAACTATATATATATTCAAGTTGGCCAAAAAAGTTTCCTTTCAATCGTCGTGTCGGTTTTATGGGGTTATATTTGGCATACACGGTTATGTGTCAGATTGGAAAGGGTTTTACCTGGAATGAATTTTTGCCACTTCTGATCCACATTGTACTTCACACAGTGATTTCCTGAAGGAAATATAATGATCTGTTCATCGAAGAAGAACACATTGTTGGACACGTGGGATCGAAGACCAAAAACATGCAGCGACTGAGCTACCACAGTGGACATGGTCCCAGTAAGGAGTTTCGCTAAAGATGCAGCGCAGCTGTTGAGCTTGGAGAAGCGCGTCACCCCGCCCACATTACCGTCCCCGCCCCCGAGACACGCCCCTAGACCCTCCCCCGGACTCCTCTTCCACCCCCTCCCCCCAGCAACCTTCTCCCGCGCGCCCGACCCCGCTCCTGCGTCTCCTCTTTCCTTTGGCCTTTGTGGCTTCCTGCTCCTCCGGACGACCCCGAGGGACCCTTCCCACCTGTCGCTTCTGCTCTCTGGATCACCAGAGCACGCGTGTATACAGGGTACTACGCCTACGAATCCCAAGCAACGCGGCACTCACAGACGCCGGAGCGGTTCCTATGGCAACGGGAAACCGGAAGTGTGTCAGCAGCCGGAAGCGGAACTCCGATCAGAAAGTTCAGCTGCCTCTGGGGGCTGTCGGGAGCTGGTGTTGTTCGAGTCCACGTGGAGCAGCGGGCGGGAGGGTAGGGGGCTGAAAGCGGGCGGCGGCGGCGACGAGGGGAGCCCTTTTCCAGGCGCGGGGGCCTCGGGCTCCTTCGCTTCTCCGGCAGGTGTGGACGTGCGTGCTGCGAGATGGACACTCCCCCACTCTCAGATTCGGACTCGGATTCTGACGACCCCCTTGTCACAGACAGAGAGGTAGGTGTCATCCGAGCTCGTGGGGCTGCGCGCAGGAGAGGGGTCCTCACTCCCCGGTACTGACCGCCGATCGTGCCCTGTAGTTGCAGGAGGCGTTTTCCCGAGGGCTTCTGAAGCCAGGCCTCAACGTGGTGCTAGAGGGGCCGAAGAAGGCCGTGAACGACGTGGTGAGCTCGGGCGCCCGGTTGGAGGGTGCTGGACTTGGGATGCGCGCGAGGCACCGTTGTGCTCGGGAGGCTGCGTTCTAGTCCCAGGAAAGACACAACCTGCGTATTGCCAAGAGGGTCAACTACCTGTCGGGGTCTTGGGGGTTAGCTCTTCTTCCACTGGCCTGTTACTGTCTTGCGAGCTTAGTGTCTGAATTTCCTAGAATGGCCTGAAGCAGTGTTTGGCTGAATTCAAGCGGGATCTGGAATGGGTTGAAAGGCTTGATGTGACCCTGGGTCCGGTACCGGCAATCCGTGGACCGCAGGCAACATCTCAGAACAAGGATCAGAAAGCTGTTGATCCAGAAGATGACTTTCAGCGTGAGATGAGCTTGTATGTGTGTTTTCAAATGTGGCAGAGGTTGTGGGTTCTTGTGCTGGAGAGGGGGAAGCCGTGGGCCCGTACTCCTCAGAGGTGTCGTAGGCCGGGGTGTAGGGAGGAAGTCTTCTTTGGACTGAAGAGCTAGGAGATTCTCCCTGGTTGAGAGAAGAGACCCTTTGTCCAGCAATCAGAATTTAAAGTACAGTTTATTTTCAAATACCCAGTTTTAAAGTTTGTGTGTGTGTGCAGTTAATTATTAGAACAAAAATTTGCTTATGGAAGGTCCTTATATGGGCTTTTCTTAGTGACCACATAAGAATGTGTAATTGGCATTTGTTTGTAAGTTAATGGGCACTTCTAAAGTGGTCATTCTCTTAAGCTACTAATTTATTTTTAGCAATACTCACCACTCCTTTTAAAAAGAGTGTACATCTCAATTTCTCCCATTAAATTAATGAGGTTTTATTACTGTTTTTGTTTGTGTGTGTGTTCTTGCTGGTGGAGGTCAGATGTTGAGAGTCCTGACCTTGGATGCCTCATGAGAGCAGTGAAAAGGATGTAAGGCCTCTCTCCCTTAGCTTATTTTACACTTTTGTCCTACATCCTCAGCTACAGTCAGGCCCAGGCAGCAGTGCTTGCAGTATTGCCCCGCCTCCATCAGCTCAAAGTCCCTACCAAGCGGCCCACGGATTATTTTGCAGAGATGGCCAAGTCTGATCAGCAGATGCAGAAGGTGAGAAACAGAAATGATTTTCTCTGGATAGCTGAGGCGTTGTACTTAAGTGTATTCAGCTGGCTTATCTCCTTTAACATTTACACATAGCATAAGCCCACTGATAGGGAATGGGTTGTCAGTGGACAATTATTATCTCAGTTATCTACATCAGATTCGTGCCAATCACCACCAGTTGGATAAATGTAAGGGTGACATTTTCCTAATTTAAACAGTTAAGGGGAGGAAAGTACTGTAAGAAGTGTGGTCCCTGAAGTAAAGATGGCCTTTATGCATTTCCTAACTGGCTTGGTCATGGCATGATGCGTGGAAAAGACAATAGTTCTTTCCTGCCAATGCCTGGGGGCAGCACTATAACTGGTAGACAGTTACCTTTCTCTGGGCCTCAGTTTTCCTCTTCTGTAAAATGAAGGATTAATATATGGCTCAGATTTGATATAATTTAGAGTTAGGTAGAATTTGCCCTCATTCAACTTTGGGAGGCAGAGAATTACCAACATCTAATCCAAGATATACCTAAATAATTCCCTTGGGTCTCAAGCTGGATTTTCTTTTCTCAGTGTACTCAGGGAAGCTAATCTAGAGACGAGCCCAGACCCATCTCTGCACATTCAAACTGACAACTGCTCATCCTTTAACTGAAATGTGTATGTTTAATGCATGCTGCTAGGTACCTGATATCTGTTTGAGCTTTTATTGTGTATGTGATGTATTGGAGAAGGGGGCTGAAGCTGCACAGTCTGCCGACAGTAGGGACGGAGAGAAGTTAGTCTTCTCTCCTGGTACCATGCCATTTTGCGTAATGGATCAAACAGCGCACTGGGAGGAGGGAGGTCGCTTTGATATTCTGGTTGCAAGGCTGAGACTTTTGGTGTCTTGGACAAAGTGGTCAGCCTTTGGGACTTACTGTCCTTGTGTGTAGAACGCAGGGCTTGGAGTAGCTGATTCACAAGGTCCCTTTGAGCCCCATAGTTTGCAGAGCTGGAAATAACTGCTCCCTGCTGCAGTGCATCCTAAGCAGCAGTCATCCCATTTTCAAATAACATAAGCTGATAATATTTTGTGTTTTAGATTCGACAGAAGCTGCAGGCTAAACAGGTCGCCATGGAGAGGTCGGAAAAGGCTAAGCAGCTGCGAGCACTTAGGAAATACGGAAAGAAGGTGGGAAGGAAAAGGAGCGGGGTTGGGATGGGGCCGAGTGTGTTTGTCAGTAGATTGCTTGGTCTGCGTTGGTTCCGTGCCGCGTGTGTGTTCCATCGTGTGTTTACTGTTTCACAGTGGCATGGGTGCTAGTGTCCGTGAGCACAATCCCTCCTGGACACCTGTGTGTAGCCAGAGGTAGTGTGGTCACTACCGGCAAGTTATGCGCCTCTCTGGGCTGCAGTTTGCACACCTGTACATCAGAGAACTGGGTCCAGATCAATGGTTTCCCAACCTGACCTCACAGCACAGTCAACTGGGGAAACTTCAAAACAGATTTCTAGGCTTCGGGAACTCTGGGAATCTGTATGTTTTCATCCCTTGCCCCTAAAGCTTCTGAGATGTCTCCAATACACATCCTGGTTTGAGAATCACTGGCCTAGATGATTATAAAGTCCTTGAAGGAATCAATCATATTACTGATTGTTATCCAATCAGAAAAAATGGCACCAGTATGTTTGAACTGTGACTGAGTTCCGATGTAAAGCCAGAAGGCATATACCATGAAACTTTCCTTGATTTCCTTATTTATTTCATGGTTACCTAAGAAGGAAGATGACAGGAACTAAACTTAGGGTTGTGGGAAGAAATGACTGTGAAGAGGATCAGCATGGGTGTTAAGACCTTGTTAATGTTTTGGACGTAAACACTTGTGATCTGGGTGCTGAGCTGCCGTCCACAGTTGCAGTTATTTCCCTGATGGATCCTCAGCAGGGTATGAGCAGATTAGCATGCTGGGCTCTGCACAAGGGCAGCTGTGGATCTATTGGATGGATGTGGTTGGTGGTTGAGATCAACTCAAAGACTTGGGCAGTTGGTTTAACATAACTTAAATTATCAAAGGAAAGAATAACTTAGTCGGGTCCATTAGCCCCTTGTTTCTAATGTGAGGAAACCTCAGGGCTGTGTTTCTCAGTGGGGGACAGTTCTGCTTACCAGGGAACATTTGGCAATGCTGGAGACAGTTTTGGTCGTCGCGTCCTGGTGGGGAGCGTCCTGTTGGCAGCTAGAGGGCAGGGAGGCTGCTGAACACCCTGCGGTGCCCAGGGCAGGCCGTGCCCCCACACACACAGTGGTCCTGCCGCAGCTGTCATGGTGTTGAGATGGAGGAGTGCTGCCTTAGAGTTTAATCATCTCTTTTTGTCCTTAAAGCTTTTTTTCTTTGTTTTTCAGGGAGATTGTTTTCTCTGTTGGTACTTTCATGCCTAGCAACAGTAGGTTAGATATTTAGTCTGCCCAAATATAATTAGTGGGAGAATTGGATGTAGACATAAACATGATTTGTGCAGTTTTGTAGGCAGGTTGTGTCATGGGGTAAGGGTGCAGACTGCCTGGGTGTGAATCTCAGCTCCGCACTTTCTCGTGTGTGACCCAGTCAAGTTGTGTAACCTCTCTGTGCTTCAGTTTCGGGGTCATAAGAATTTCTACTTCACTAGGTGGTTGAGATGAGAAATAGAGACTATACTTAGAGCTTTAGTGTAGTTGTGGCACACAGTGAGTGTTCAGCGGTGGCGGTAATGTCACAGCGTGGTTACTGAGAGAATGTAGACACTTGTAGTGCCGGCTTGGAGTGGGTTTAACAGTCCTGTGTCCCCGTCCAGGTGCAAACAGAAGTTCTTCAGAAGCGGCAGCGGGAGAAAGCACACATGATGAGTGCCATTAAGAAATATCAGAAAGGTGAGTATATTCTCTCCTAAGGCTGCAGAGGAGCAGGGGTCCCTGCTAATTCTAACAAACACATAGTGCTCTAGAGGCTTGATTGATTTGGAACTATTGGACCTAAGGTTTGGGAATGGTGTGGGGAGCAAGATGGGCCTCTTAATACCAATTCCATAAGTAACATCCTTCTTTCGAAGCTTAATCTTTTCTTAAAATGTGATGGCGCTGATCGAAGTACTTCTTCACTCCCAGGCTTCTCTGATAAACTGGACTTCCTCGAGGGAGATCAGAAGCCTGTCGCACGGAGCACGAAAGAAGGAGCCAAAGGCCAGCAGATGAAGAAGGGGTATGGGTGCCGGCTTCTGTTTTGGTGGTGGTGCATGCAGGGCCACAGTTCACGGTGTGACCTCAGTGCAGAGAGTGTGGCCACAGCTACAGGCCGTGTGATGGGCCCATTCAGCCACATCAGTCTTTGAAGTTTAAAATGAGGCGATTTCAGGATTTGGCACATTTTGAGTGAACACTCAGTAGAAGCTGATTCCTCATGTGTGATGGTTAAGTGTACAGACCTAAGGTTCCCGTCTGGACTCTGCCACTCATTAGGAGGGTGGCTTTGAGCAGGTTACTTCACCTTTCTAAATGTTAATTTCCTTATCTATGAAAATGAGAAAATTGTAAGTGCCTCTTAATATTAGGAAGATTGAAAGGGGTAATGTTGGATATTATTATTGGTTCTTTTCGTTTACCTTTATGCATTTCTGGGCACCCGTCCTGGGGGAAATGGTCATTTCTGTATAATGTAGTACATGCTGTGATAGAGGCATTAGATATAGTAATCTGGAAGCACATTTTAGAAATATGTGACATGGTCCAGGGGTCAGGGTCAGGTGATGACTTCCTGGAGGAGGGTCCCCCTGAGCTTAGTCTGAGGCATGAGTAGGAAGGAATTAACCAGGAGAACGGGAGAGACATGGGGTTTCGGGAAGAAAGAAGAACACTAATGAGCAGAAGCACAGAGATGAGAGCAGCCAGCATTTGGTATCATAGGGACACAGTGTGGGCAAGGAGTGGCGCGGTGTAGCTGGGGGGACCTGGGCCGAGTACGGGGCAGTGTGTGTTGGCCTTGTGAGGAGCCGGGGCTGTATCCAGCAGTCAGTGGGGAGCCGCTGATGGGCTTTATTCAAAATAGCGAGCAGGTCATGTTCATATTTTAAATATTTCAGTGTTGCTCGTGTAAGTGAGGGAGGCGGGGACTGTTACAGAAGTCCAGAGAACAAGATAATGACATAGAAGTGTTAACGGGGGTAGAGAAGAGAAAATGGGTTGAAGAAATATTCAAGAGGTTAAATTAGCAGGTCTCAGTAACTGAGCTGGGTGTAGAAAATGAAAGAAGGAAGAATCAAGGCCCACTCCAGGTTCATAGTGTGGGTGGCTGAGTAGATGGTAGGACCACCAGCCTCAAGTTAGGACATAGATACAGGAGCTGAAACCAGTCTAGAAGGGAGGTGACGTGTGACTTTGAATATGGTGAATTGAGATTCCTGTGGGACGACCAGTTTTAAAATGTATGACACCTGAATGTTAACTGCATTTAATATACTTGAGAGGAATTGAAACAACTGAGGATGCTTTAGCAAGATTTAGTGTAAGTAGAAAGGTTTCTGAAGATAAGTGGTAAAAGCCACACGATATATCTGGGTCTTTTCCTGATTCTTCCTTTGTTTTCCTGCTTTGGTGGTTAAGACTGTAAAGGGATGAGCTTGCCTGGGGAGTTTGTAGAGTAGAAATGTAGGGCCAAGGATGAGATTCTAGGTACAGTAGTACCTGTACAGATAGGAAACTGAGGGTATTGTTGGGTCATTACATTCATCAGGATTTGCAGTGCTGAGGGTAACGTGTAAGACCGCTTTTTTCCAGGCCCAGTGCCAAGCGACGCTATAAAAACCAGAGGTTTGGTTATGGTGGGAGGAAGAAAGGCTCCAAGTGGAACACTCGTGAGAGCTATGATGATGTATCCGGCTTCCGGGCCAAGATAGCTCATGGCAAGGGCCTCAAGAGGCCTGGAAAGAAAGGATCAAATGTAAGTGAGCCGGGGGTGCAGGTGAGGGGCCAGAGCAGCTTCCTCTCCCACCCCGCCCCTCCCCTTCCCTTTCTTTCCCTGTATCCTGACCCTGGGGCAGAAGGCCAACTGCTGTGTGAATACATGTGGTGTTTCCTTTTCTGCAGAAGAGACCCGGGAAACGGACAAGAGAGAAAATGAAGAGCAGAACACGCTAAATAAGCAGCATCTTTGTATACAAAGACCAAGAAAAGGGATGGAGACTTGGGATTTCACAATGCAATTGGATCCCTTCTGTTGGTTTCCTTTTGTAAAAATTCTTTCAATAAACTAAAGAAAAATTTTCAGAGAAATATATATTCTTGGTTAAAAACTCAGGACTAAAAGATTTAGAAGTTACTTTTTACATATTAAATAATACTGCCATTTATTGATAATAAATAAATGAGCCCTGTTGAAGTTAAAAGCATGGATTCTGGGGCCAGACTGCTCGGTTTGACACCTGGCCCTGCTGCATACTTGCTGCTTGACCTTGGGCAAGTTAATTTTTCTGTGCTTTGTCATCTCCATGTAGACATGATAATAGTATCTACCAAAGAGGATTCCTTTCAGCGTTGAGTTAATATGTGTAAAATGCTTAGGACACTGCCTGCCGTATGAGAGTGTATACCTGCATAGGCTTATTTTGCTGGGTGGGGTGGCTCTCCCTAATGTCTGCTGAGCCGTGGTGGTGCATGTTTGAAGCTTCTCCACTGCTGGCTGGGAGCTGTGCACAGGTTGGATGTGGTGGGCGGGCCATGTTTGGGCTTTCCTGTATCTTGAAAGGTGGGAAAGGAAGGCAGCTTCCCTGCCCTCCTCTCTCTATTCCAGTTCAGAAGCCATACTTTAAGGAGGCTACAGATATCTGAGAACTCTATATGCTTAGGCAGAAAAAACAACTGATTTTCACATTGTTTCCTTGTAGCATCATTGGGACTTAAAAAAGGATCTCTCTGGTTTCCTATGATATTGAGTTTCTAGAACAAAAAGAATGAATTTAGTTTTTGTAAACTAATTTCAATGAGCAAAATTCCAAGCAAACAAGTCATGTTCTCAGAAGACCACCATGTTTAACCCTGACCTATTTTGACAGTCTGTACAATGGCAGTGAATGGGGTAACGTATAGTAATTCCAATAAGGAGCCTCAGCTCAGACTTTGAATTATATGTGGAGCATATTGAGAGCTTTAAGAAAGGTGAACACAGATTGCCAGAGTTCATACTAGTAGGGACAAAAGTAAATTACTGATTTGAGTACTTCTAAAGGTTTTGAAAACAATGTACCTTCTTTCCTTTTTTTTTTTTTCTTCATAGCAAATGGAATCACTTTCCTTAATTTCAGAGGTATACTTTATAGAACTCAGCATTAGCCCTCATACTGCTTTAAAATGCAATTCCATGCATTGAAAGATAAGTAGGAGCTAGCAGTTCCCATTACCGAGTCCAGGCTGTTCTTGCTTTGCTTTGTTCCAATATACGTGGACTTCAGCTATCAAGGTGCAGTTATAGCAGCTGTGTTCCTCGACAAGGCTGTTCATGTTTCAGTTACCAAAGTATTGTTAACCAAGTAATTGCAGAAAATAGAAACTTTGCTGCTGGCTCTTCAGTTCATAAACCACTGCATAAAAGAAACATAATGAATAGTGGCCAAATACCACTGCTTTTGAAGTATGTGGGTGATTGGCCACTGCACACCTGTTATTTAGTTCATGCACAGGTGGCAAGGAGTGCAGTTGTGTTGTCTCATCTCCAGCGATAAACCCACGTGGCGTTTTACAAAAGTAAGTCATTGAAAGAGGGAATTGACCAACAGATGAAAGTGCAGCAAAGAAATGAAAAGTGGTAAGGTTGGAAGTAAAATGGAATAGAATGCAAATGGAATTATAGGAGAGACAGGTGATGAGGGAATGGAGACAAGGCTGCTGTTGTAGAGACTAGATAGAGATGCAGCGAGAGAAATAGTGAATGTGAACTTAACAGAATGAGGAAAATGATGGAAAGGATGATGATGTCCCAGAGGAAGTGACACTGGCAGAAAACTTCCCATTAAAGGGACTCTTGGAGATATTTTGTGGCATTGAAAGTACAAATGATAAAATGTTGGAGGTGAATCTGATAGGGATAGAGTAGGATAATTCGTTTAGAAATCCCACTAGGGGATTAAAGACAGGGAATTTTAAAGGCATTCAGGAGACTGTTGTAAGCTAATGACCACTCAAGAAAATCCAGTAATCTAGCAATAATCAACACTATCTTAAAGGAAGACCAGGTGCATCCGAATGCCAGGCACACTCAAGCCACAAATCCTGAGAGTTAAGACACTGCCACCCCCCCAGCACCTTGATGTGTTCACCCACCCGGAAGCTCTCCAAACCCTGCAGTCTAGGGGTCTTTGGAGGTTTCACTATGTGGGCGTGATTGATGAAATCATGGGCCATTGGTGATTAATTCAATCTTGAGCTCCTCCTCCCTCCCCAGAGGTTGGATGGTGGGGCTGAAAGTTGCAAGTTTCTAACCAAGGCTTGGTCTTCCTGGGGAGCAGCCCCCATGCTGAAGCTGTCTAGAGGCTGCTAAGAGTCACCTCATTAGAAAAAAAGACCCTCCTACCACCCCTATCCTTTAGGAAATTACAAAGGTTTTAGGAGCTCTGCGTCAGGAACCAGGAAAAGACCAAATCTCTTTCTGTGATATCACAGGTCACCCTTTGATCATTGACCATGGATTCCTTAGAGCAAAAAGTTTATAACAGTTATGAGATACTGGCCCCCTTCTAGATTCCCATGTAGTCACTAATAATTGGTCTAGTCCAGCCTTGTATGAAAATGGCTGTCAGGGTGAGGCCACTCAGCATTGGAGCTTCCATTCAGTCTTGGCACGATACAAAAGCAGGAGTGACCACAGCAATATATGGCTTCACCCTTCAAGGCATAAGTCAGGAAGAGCCAGATGGAAGAGATACAGAGAGCAAGGGATTTGTGGGCAGGGTGGGGGGCAGTGCACAGAGCGTCCGTGCCCTCCCTGGGCGAGTGACTCTCCCAGCACCTCCGTGTGTTCACCTGCTTGGACGTTCCCTGGTTCTTGTTTCCCAGGACCTTCAAATGGTATCATGTGTGTGTGTGTGGGGGGGGGTCTTTTCTTTAGAGCTGTTTCATTTTTTCAGAAAGGAGCCCTCTAGCTTCAAACCCGGGGTAAAAATGCAGCATGTGCGAGTGAGAGGTTCAGCCTCCTTTTCACAGATGGTCATTGTCTTCAGCCTTACACCTCACCCTGACCCCACGTCTTGCTTAGTGTCCCTGAGCCCTGGGCTTTGCCCATTTCTCCAAGAGTAAACCTCCAACGTGGGAGCCGTTACACGCCTGGTGCTGGGGTGTGTGGAGGAGACTCCCTGCAGACCCCCTCCCAGTGGCCATTTCAGTTCCCTCCCACACACCCCACTCTGTCCAGAGTCCTGACCTCCCTCCAGAGTTCTGGGGGGTGGAGCTCTGTGCTCAGAGGTGTCCCGCTCGCATTTTGTGGTCTCCTCCACCCTCTTCCATCAGCTTTCCGTCTTTTAAACATGGCTTCAGTCTTCTTGGCTGCTAAGGGTTCTCTCTCATTTTCTCTGTTGTGGGTTTATACCTTTTAAAAACTCCATTTATTACTGGGGTCTGGAAGGCAGAGGAGATATTGTAGGCCTTTAGTTTGCCATCTTTAACTGGAATTCTCCCCCTAGTTTATTAAATTAAGGATATGAACCAGAAGGGAGAAATGTGAGACTCAGGACAGTAAAAGTCAGACCTAGGCTTTAAAGTGCCTTTTTTTTTTTACCTGGGAAGCACACACTTTGGGCATTAACGACAGTGATTGACAGCACTGCGGGAATACTACTTGTGGTGACCATCTTCTCCCAAGCTCCACATTTTAGCCTTGTATAGAGTGATGTCTTTGTAGACCCTGAAGTGGTTCAGCCTGCGGTCATCGCGTTGTGGGTTGACCTAGAGAAGGGAATGCAGACATCAGAAAGAAGCCAGTGGGGAAGGAGGAAGACCTGGACTTGAATCAGGCCTCAGTCTCCTGATGTGCAGCCTCTGGTGCTTTTCCTTGCTAAACCCTGTTTGTGAAATAAAGACAACATTTCCACCAAAAGACTTGCAGGGTTGCATGAGAATCTCAACTGTGCAGAGTTGCTGCACTGCCCTTTACCGCTGCCTACGGTGGAGGCCTGTGGACTCTTCCCCCCACTGGCATGGATGCTCCATGAGGGGAGGTGCTGCATCTGTATCCCAGCACCTGCAACAGTATCCAGCACACACAGGGGACTCAAGACATATTTGCTGAATGAAAGATTGGATGTTGTTGAAGTAGTTACACAGAGAACTGAGTTAAGAGTGAGCCCTGGGACACACAAATCTCACAGAAGCTACACTGTGCCATTAACTAAAAGGTTATACTTTCATCAAATGTTACCAGGAGACCAGAGGCTGAGCGATACTCACTGAGTGTGGCTTCCCCAGAGTCCCAGTACTGGGGTTGGAGTTCTCTGCCTGTGCGGGGCGAGGTACCGCTGGGGGCAGGAGCCCTGTGTTAAGTTGGGGCTGATCAAACCTCTTCGGTCCCCAAACACATCATTCTGAAAGCTTAATTACCTTTTATGGTTGCATGACCCCTGGATCTAACTTTTCTGGGTACTCTTTCTTACTTTGCCACCAGTGCCATCTGATGGCATTGTCCCCAGGTTTAAAATGAACAGGTGTGGTGTATTTCCAGACCCTCTGAAACCCCACAGTGACTAGTGATCTGGGGGCCCTCGCAGGGCAGGGCTGGCCAAGCCAGTCTCATTTCTCCTTCCTATCATGGCTGGTTGGGCCTGCCCTGAGATGTGCTGGGCAGAGATGCAACACTTCTACCCATACACTTTGTACCCACGGGAGCCAGGCCTTTTCTCTTTAAGAAAATGAAGAGTAGTGAGTTAAATGACTTGTGCTTTGTGATAGTTTTCTACATTGCTTAGTTATCTAACTTGGAGGATTTTTTCTTCACTCCGCCTTCCTTCGTTCACAGGCCCCCTCTCCATTCCCTTATTCACTGTAAATTATGTGGCCCCGCCTCCCATCCTCCTCCTTTACCCTTTGAGCGTTTATCTCTTCCCCAGCTGCCCAACAGCGCCTCTCCCTCTGGACTCAGTTCTTGGGTAAGAGGTGAGGGCTCCTGCTGGAAGCCTCTCCCTGTCTTGCACAGTCTCCTCCCTCCAACACGATGCCCCATATCTGAAGAGGGGCTGTTACAAATGAGCAGCTATTTGCGCTCTTCACTGGTAAAACCCGGCTCACTGAGC